TTGCAGTTACAGTGGCTCATAACAACCTCAGATGAAGTCGGGAGGAATAGTCTGTCCTGAGGAGAGGACAGAGTAGCCCGCTAGTACGCAGTTATGCCGTTGTCGCAGCCAGAAAGTGCGCAACATTAGCGCTAGTGCCTTGCAAAGTGAGCTAATGACTGATGACACAGCTAGTGGACGAGATACCCCATAAAACGGAACGTGGATTACGGCGTGGCGGCTACTTAGAATACGTATGGGTAGTGGAGCTGTGAATCAAGCAGCCTCAGACAAGTCGTCCGGACGAGCCCTTCCCTCCATTCAACGGGAAAGAGAGGTTGTCCTTATTCATGGGCTTAGTCGTTTATTTCTTTTCCGTTAGTCAAGTTGGCATCCATAATTTCATTATGGGCCGCTGTTACCCCACAAACTAGATCTGGGGATTGTTGCTTTGGCCTAGAGGTAGTGCGTAAGCAGCTGATATTAGTGTCATCGGTTCAGCCTCTTCGGTTCGCATTGGGTATCAGCCGATCTTCTGCGCAGGAAAGCTGATTTAACTTCTCAGCAGGGGTCAAGAGAGACGTTCAGTTTTTTCCCAAAGTTGGGTGTTGATTGAAGCCCAAGATTAGCTTGAGCCTGAACTTATAACTACGTATCGGTTTAGATTTAAGCCTAGAGTTAGGGCTAGTTAGGCTTCTGTTTATAACGGCAAACTAGAGGTGTTCTGGTCTGAGGTGACCTGACCTGAGTAGGAGCAGTGATTTGCACCCTAGCTGAAGACACTTTTTACATCACCGTTGGCTAAATGCCTGTAATCACAAACTGATCTCCCCTATTAGTGAAGGTTTTCTTTAAACTTGTTTGTGACTTTTCCAGTTTAGCCCTTTCCCACATGTTTTGGGGATCAAGCATGAGTCATCAGTCGCCAATTATAAACGCTCGATTTCGTCCGGCGCTGTTGAGCCCGTGATCCTGCATGTCTAAAGAACCTATGGAACCGGATCGTTGAACGAGACGGAATTCCATCAAAAGATGTGCCAAACTGTTACTTTCCTGCAT